ATTTGCTCAAACCTCTCTTATTTTTCTCTCTTCCGTCGTTCCCTCTCAACTCTCTCCCTATCTCCATTCTTGCCTCAAATCATCGATTTTAATCGGAATTCACTTCAAATATCATCTCCTAAACTTGCAATCATCATTAAAATCGTGCAAACAACATCAAAATCCACTCAATCTCATCCTTCAAGGTAAAATTTTCTAAACACCCTATTTTATTGATTTTGAACATAGGACTTGTTTTAATTAGTTTTAGGATGAACTTTAGATCGGGCATTGATTGTTTAGTGATTAGAAACTAGATATTACAACCAATTTCATCAAAACACAAGAATTTTCCAATTTTTTTTAAATTTTCGAAATAAAAAAATGTTAATTTTCAAATTATTGTGTTTTGATTAAATTATGTTGTTGTTATGAGAACTATACATATATTGTTTCTCAAAACCATATTTTTCAAAAACTTTGCCCATTAGGAATGATTTAGAGAACCTTGAAATATTGAGAACTCAATTGAATTTTGGGATTGATTGAATTGCATACATGTGTTTTCTAAATTGCAGGTTATCAATTCTATTTCGATTTCCTAAACCATGTCCAATCCTAAACGTGCTAGGTCTTCATCTAGTCGTTCACACCGTCAACCAAATCCACCTCCAAATCCTCCACCTATTCCAATTTCTAATCCTAATCCTATTGATCCTAATTTGACTATCCAAAATTCGTGTTTCAATCATCCTGGTCCTAGAAATCATCGTTTTTGGTATTATCAATATTTCGACTCTTACAAAATCCGGGAAGAACGTATTCCTTCTCGTCAAGCTATGTTAGCTATCAATTTTAAATATCTTTCTCTTTTACAAGAGTGGAAATTTGATAAACTCTTTGACCTTGAACCCGTCGTTTACCATCAACTTGTTCGTATTTTCTATTTTAATGTCGTTTGTGTTAAAAACCAAACTGAAACCGAAACCATAGGAATTCGTTCCTACCTTCTAGGACAATTCTTATATATTGACTCGGCTTACATAGCCAATACATTCGGATTAGATAATGATGGGATTTCAAATGAAAAACAGGTTTTAGGATCTCGTTATAAAAGAAGGGATAGTGCAAGTGTCCTAGAACTTCATGAACGTTTTCTTCATCTAATGATTTCTTGGTGGTTTCGACCATCCGGAGGTCGTTATTCTACTCCTTAGAGCCTTAGATCTTTGGTGGTTACATTGTTTCGAAAACAATATTAAAATCAACCTACCTCAGATTATTTTTGCTGAAATTATTGAAACCGTAAATCTTGTTCCTAACAAACAAATCTGTTCATCTCTTGTTTACGGTTGTATTTTGAGTAATCTGTTTTCCACAGCTGGGCTTAGAGTCGGTCTAGATGCCGTTTTTCCTCTTAAGAAACAAATTAACCTTCTTTTCTTAACGAGAGCGGAATGGATTAAGGATAAGGAAACCGGTGAATGGGTTCGATCTTCTGCAAATACTCCGGGAGCTAGTTCTTCACAAGCTCCACCCGAAGCTGACGAAGATCTCGAGCTTGAGCAATTAATGCGAGACATCGATGAAGCCGAAGATGAACCTGAGCAGCCCGAGGAGCAGCCTGAAGAGAAAGCACAACAAACGCATCCAATGCCTCCATATTTCCAATCCTTTATGGAGACATTCGATTTTCGATACGCTACTATGGATTCACGCTTTACTTCTATAGAGTCCCATTTATCCACAATGGGAGCTCAACAATTAGAAATTCTTCGGGAAATACGTGCAAATAATGAAGCAACCAACGCACGTATTAATGACCTCACTAACGAAATGGCTGCTATGCGATCTCGTTTTCCTCCTCCTGATCCGGATATGTGATTCAATGTTTTGCTTTGACCTCCAAACTTGTTGTTTTAACATTTTGAATATTTTGGAATGTTTGAATTTGTGGATTGATTGACTTTGAATTTGTTTGGATTCATGAATGGTTAGAAATTATCTATTTGGTGTGATTAAATTTATTCATTATTGCATCATTTATTTCATGATTAGATATATGACCAATTTTTTCCATATCACATTAATTATGAATATTGATTATGAAACTAATGGATAACTTTTCTCTTGCTTGTGATCTTAGCAGCTTATATTATATATAATCAATTGGCTAAATGATTTCAAAACCTTGTTTAAATTCTTTAAAATGTCTTTTTGATTTATCAAAAAGGGGGAGAAGTGTTAAAGGTTTTTTAAATGATAAATGAGAGAAGTGTTAAAGTAAGGGGGAGTAATTTCAAAACTTGATTGATTTCAAAATCTTAAAATTACTAAAATGTTTTTGTTATATCAAAAAGGGGGAGATTGTTGAAAGCATTTTGATATTTCGATATAACAAATTAAGTTAAATGAATTTTAAGATTTTCCAAATGATTTTCTAAATATATTCGATAGAATTATTCGAATATCAAAACATTACTCCAAATCTTTCAAAGATCATTTTTAATCCTTACTCAAAGTGTAAAATTAAGTTTTAATCTTAAAACAATTTCAAAATAATTTTACAAAGTACTTCGAACCATTTCAAAGCCAAAAATTCCAGATTGCTCAGAGGGAACCGATTTACCGATTCCCCCTGAATGGTTTGGCTCCGAGAATTCCAGTATGCTCGGAGGGAACCGATTCCCCCCCAGGGGGTACCGATTCCCCCTTTTATAACGGTCGAAATATTTGAATTTACACTTAGGGAACCGATTCCCCCTACGCTCCAAGCTGTTTTATTAATTGTTTTCACACTAAAACGGTATATTATTTTCTCTAATTATCCCCAACGTTCAGAAGTGATTCAAGGTGTATTTAAGCAAGCTTAGAAGCCATTGATCAAGAACAAGAAACATCAAGCAATTAGAATCAAGAGAAAATCAAAGAGAAAACATCAAACCTCAAGTTTGAGCATTTCAAGCCTATTTTTCATTCAATATTCATTTTGCTTTCAAGAACACTTATTGTGCTCAATTGTATTTATTCTTGAGTGTTCTTTCTTTGTTCTAGAATTGTGCAAACATATTTGCCTTGTGAGGTTTTTCTTGTAAGTTTGCAAATTTGTATTTCTCTTTGAGAAAAGAGTGTTCTCAAGAATTGGGGTATATTCTTGAGGGAGTTGTAAGGTTATCTCTTTGGCATCAAAAGAAAGAACAAATTAGTGAATTTTTGGAAAATCCTTAGTGTGGATAGCTAAGGTAGTGGACGTAGACTTTGGTTGATAAAGTCGAACCACTCTAAATTGTTGTGCAATTTCTTTCAATTTTCTGCAAAAGCTTCCACCAAATTTTTTAATTGCCAATTCACCCCCTCTTGGCCATATTCGTCAATCGATTAACTCAACAGATTGTAAATGACTTGAATTTTAATTCTATATTTTCATCTAAAATCACTTCGGTCATGTTTGAAAACGCAAGTAAAGCAGAATGAAAAGATTTGAATATCTCATTTGGTTCAATTGGGCTGAAATCCTATGAATTCAAAGTATATTACTGAATACCCCTTATTGTTTGTGTAATGGAATCACTCGCAGTAAATCTGAATTTAGAATTATTATGTATAAAAGTTCCTAAACGTTTTCATGATGCACATGGAAACTTAGTGGAATTCTAAAGTATCAATCTGAAATGTCTAATTAAATCAGTTAGAAATCGATTCTCTTCAATAAGATCTTATTACTGGAATCCGATCAAATTGCACAAGTTCATGTTATCCATATTGATAACTACAAAATGCATCTGAAAAATATTTGGATTCTCTAGTGTGTTCCTTATATTTTGAAAAATTGTTTTATTGTTTTAACATGTGGTACACTGATGGTTACTGTTTTATGGATGTACCGACTTAACGATGATGGCTTATGGATTTTTATCATTGTATAAACTGTATCTTGGAGATACAAATTTGTAGTGTACAACTATGATCAAGTTGGAAAATTTTTATGGACCTAATGTGACTCTTAGGTTGGCTCTGCGGCCTTGAGATTATTCTCGGGTAGGCTCTGCGGCGCTAAGATGTGTTCTTAGGTAGGCGCCACGGCCCTGAAATCTATCTTGGGTAGGCTCTCAGGCCCTGAGATGTTCCCTTAGGTTAACTCTTTGTAAGATGACTTTAAAATACGAGTTTAAAAAGCTCTACTACAATATAGTTTATGGGATTTTACTGAACTATCATTTGATTAGTGTACTTATTATGGTTTTATCGTACTGATGGAACACACTAGGCATCCTATTCGACCTCATGAAAACGTGATAGTATGAAAGGTTTCTTATGAACTGAGATTCATGGCTTCTACTCGATGAACTACTAATGGAACCCCAGATTATTCCGCAATTGGTATACATTTGATTCAATAAGAAAATTATGGCTTCTCATTTATCTGCATGTCATGTAGCATCATCTAATAGTTCTGTATTACTGAGCTTTACGAAGTTCACTCTATTACTCACCATTGCAGGTTAAAAGAATTGTACTAGTGCGTCTATCAAATTCAGTAAGGGAGATCTTACGGCGTTGTTTGCAAAGTATAGTATATGTGATTAAGGGGCATATAGATTGTATTGTGTTTTATATATGAGTCTGAAAATCTGGTTTATTTTGAATACTAATAACTATTATTTTGTATTATAAATAATTTTATGAGTTTACATGTTTTGATAAAAAGTTTTAAATTTTCCGCTATTTTACGGTGGGTCGCTCGGTGGCCTAATGTGACACTCCAAATTGGATCAGGCTATCCACATCGGTCTGAGGCGGTTACAGGGATGAGAAAACCTAACCTTAAGCCATTCAACGATCTGAATTGAGAAATCTTAATATCAGGCAAACTTCTTGCCTCAGAGCCTTAGCTTTCAACACTGTCAAATAGTCTACCATTAGATTTATGAATACGAACACGAATATAACAACTTTGACAAGATATCTTTATGTTAACATCATGATATTGTCTATTAGTCAGCATGGAGCAATGTAGCTTTGGCAAACTGGAAGCTCATACACGTACACCAACAGGCAACGGCAGCAGTGAAACTGAAAACTTTGCTACTACACATTCATATCTAAATTATGTATATATTGCCATGGCAATGAATCTTTAACGACATCTTGCGATAAATACATGTTGGTGTAATTATCAACCACTTCATGCCACGGCAGTCGAAGATACATCTTGATAGCACCACCAGCTGCGGACCATTTAAAGCACTACGTTTTAGGTTCCCCTGTAACTTAAAATTCCACCTCTCAACTGCGACAAAAGCATTAGGTAAATAATATTTAAGAATTTCCCCAGTAAAATTTGGCTACCAAACACAGCTTAAGCTCATAATTGAGATAGGAAATACTAAAAGTGAAAAATTACCCACCTTCTCAACAACATGTTTTGTGTCCAAGACTTCTTGTGTATTATTCTTAAGTAGGTCCACCCGAGCTTGAATGAGCCGTTTATGTTCTTCAGCCTACAAACAAATTGGTAATAAAAGATGCCATAACTTTTCTATGTTTTTTATCTAACCATTAGAATAAGCAAACTACGAGGGTATATCATAACATGTCATTTAATCAAAACAATTCACCTACTTAAATAACCAAGTTCTGCTTCATTGCAAAACAGTTCAAATTTTTGTACGACTATTTTGATGGCTTAAATAGCCCTCTTCATAGTTTTCGGCACACAAAATGAAGCTAAAACATTAATAATTTCCTTGTAATGCTTAATAAATTACTTTGTAATAGAAAAACTTCACAAGATCATTTCTTACCCTTTCCAACAGGCCTCTTAAGTAATGGATCTCGGCTTTCTTTGCAGTTAACAAACTGTGCACTGCATCCATTACATTAGTCCTGCATTCAAAATCCTCACTAGTTCATATGAGAGAAGTGCAGCCAACATGGTTCCATGTGAATATAAGAGCAAATAATCACATGAGGTAACAGTAATCACCATAGGCAACATAATTAAGTGGTGTTAGAAAACAAATTTGTTCGAGTATAAAGAGTAGAGTCTTCATCTATTCCAGAAAAAAGAAGCTAATAGAATTCAACTCTGTGATCATTCAATTTGAAACTGCAGATATCCTAATAGGATTGAATTACACATGTAATCAACTGTTAATTAGTAACCCACCAAACATTCAAAGAACATTAGAAAGTAGAAACCAGACCTACCTCTCTGAAAACAAAGAGTCAAGAGATTGTTCTTCCACAAGTTGCTCCACAGTATCAAGGGCATCTCCTACCTACAAATAAATAAATAACCTTAAAAATTAAGGTGCCTAGAAGAGTTACAATAGATGTACATCAATGCAATGCAATAAAATTGTCTGGAAATTGAATGTGATATAGACAATCATGTAAAAAAAGTGGGGCTGTCTCATTCACATTGGTTAAATTTGGGATCTGTTGTTACCTTATTCATTCTCTACTATTGGCTTCTCATAACAAATGTTTTTATACGAGTAACGAGACCCTAACTCTTTTCTTGCCGGGTATTTTTGCAATCAATAATAGATAATAAAGTTAATTTAAGCTTTTGAACCACTAAATCTCATTTAACACTCTTCAAAAAACTCTTCAGTGATTTACAATAGACAGCTGTTACGAATACTTTCACAGCTCGACTGTGAACAAACAAATTTTAATGGAGAAAAGAAAGAGATTCGAGAAAGTGAAGAATTCAGAGAAGAAGATGAGAAAATTTCATTGATAAAATTCTGCATAACAGATTCGTGTACATATATCCAAATGATGAAAGAAACCCTACATCGGGAGTATAATAAACTGATATAAATTAAACTATAGTAGTCTTATAACAGGGAATACCTGAGTTTCACGGCATAAAGACTCAAATTCATCCTGATACATAGAAGACGTAAAATCAGAAATAAGGCTCATATAACACAATTAAGAGAATTGGAAATTTGAAGGCAGTGAGTTAGCTTCTGCTTAAATTATATCTGAAGGCAGTATATGGAAATTTGAATTTCAAAAATAGTGCAGATTGTATGATACATACAAGTACATCAAATCCATAGATTTGTCAAATAGTACAATTTATTTTGCAAATGAAATTCAAGTTTTCAAATACATGTTTCCAAAAGTAAGAGAAAGTTGCATCGACTATGATACCGAGATATTTGCACGGCTTCTGCTCCATTGCATTATTATATCATTGTATCCAGTAATCTCTTTAATTCCATATGGCCAAAACTTTCAATCAGCATTAACATCATTTGTTTGAAAAAAGCAACAGAGTTGCAAAAAGTCCTTTAAGGGTAAAAACTATAGCCAGGTGTAAGTGTTATGAATAATTTAAATAAATTAAAGGGAGAGTTAATTATAGCATTACAAAATGATAATTAAAAATGAAGGCAAGATAAGAGAAGGATACTGCATACCTCAACATTCCCATGCAAAGAGGTAATGACCTGAAAATTTGCCATAGATTAGCGTCAAGATCAAGTATCAGTTAAAAATAGTCCTTAAAAGCTCTATACATAAAATCAACAGAAAATAATTTCTTCTGAGATACGAGGAGTACATAAAGCAAATAGTTTTCCTCTTTTAGATATCTGAGAAGTAAGATTTGTTTTATTAAGGAGTTTGTATTAATAACAAGCTAAGCCCAGCTAAAATGAAACACAAAACGCAAATGAACTATATTTGTGGATTAAAGAAAGTACATAATAAGAAAGTAGACCTGAATAAAAAGCTGGTGGAGACGTTGTTGCTCGACATTAGTAAAAGTTGGAAATGCTTTGCTGAATTCCTTCAAAATTACAAAAGAGAAAACCATTTGAAATCATCTATACTGTCGCTAAAGAAAGAAAAGATCTCGACAGAAACAAAAAAGGAATGAAATTAAAAGAGAAAAATAAATAAACCTGGGCAGAACAAGTAGTGAGAAGAGAGCGGACGGCGAGGTTGAAAGACTTTTTCAAATCGGATTGTCTCTTTCCCATTGCTGTGACCTGACCACCGACATTTCTGCTACCCATCTTCTTCGATACAAATCACAATACAAGCACAGCAACGAAAGGAAAACCACAAATTGAGAGAGCAACGGCAACGTTTTCTTTGTTCGCACCCAATCAATGTTCAAATTTTGCTTTCTTTTTCTCAAGATTCGCAACAATAGGCGCCAATAGTCCTGAGCACGAAAAGCATATATGATTTGAAATTTGAATTTGAGGGTAGAACCTAAAATATAGGCTCAATACCTCTTTTAGCCTCTGTATTATAGTTAAATTACGAGTTTGATAATTATATAATTTTTATCAGTGCCACACTGTAAAATAAAAATAAAATATTAAACATTTAAAAAAATTAAATATTCAAATAAAATCAAGAAAAATCTAAAAACTTTTCTTTAAAAGCTTTGATTTTAAGCATTTTGAAAACAAAATGAATTTTTTTATTAATCTTTAATAATTTTTATTTTTTCCAAAAAATAAGTATAATGATACTTTTTGAAAAAAATATTAATTTATAATTTTGGATTGTAAAGATGTTTTAATGATTTATTTTACATTTTTTACATTTTTATATTTGTAAAATCTTTAACTTTTATTACAAGTGGTAGTTTCTGCTTAGATTATGTAATATTTTTAACAAAAAATATATTAAGATGATTTGATAGTGAAATGATAGTATAAAAAATGAAAATGATAAGAAAAAACTTATACAAATACGAAAATTAAATATAATAATACAAAAGCCAAAACAATAGAAGTAACAAAAGGAGAAAATTGCATGTCTAAAACCTCCGTGTCCAGATCGTCTTTATTTCTGTTTCTAATTGAGACAGGTTGGCTTGGCTCCATATTTCAGATTAATTAATTAATATTTTTACACCATTGTTATAGAACACGACACCAGCGTTTCCGCTCACCCTCCAACTACAGACCAGTATGCTGACCAAAAGAGAAAAGAACTACTACACATCAGTACCTGAAACTTAATCCCACACCCCATTCCATAAGGCTGGATCATCTATGGATAATAAATACATGGCATATCGCTTGTATGATTGTCCTTTCAACTGCCCAGCTGCATGCAAAATCCCTTGAATCCTTCTTATATATAATTCACGCAAGTAAATCTTTAAACAAGTTTGGGTTCTGACTCGATGGATTCACAACCCATCTGCCTCACCAATGCATCTTTTTCCAAGGAATCTTTAGGGTCTGGCCCCTTACCACTGTTTCGTGTTAATTGCGGCTTAGCAGTAGCACCGGGCATGTTTGTCATGGAAGGATTTGACAGGCCAGATAAAAGATCAGCGTCGTCTTTATTGTGTATACTAATGGGTGTGTCTGCATACGATGCCATTACGTCAGGTGTTCTGGAAGCGGCAGTTGCACCATTTGCAACTGAAGCAACTTGAGTTGTGTTGAGAAGGCCCTCCAATTGTTTAAATGGATCTAGTGAAGGAGCAGTACTTGTGTCAGTTGGTTGCCCCATATCAAGCAAGTCCGGAGGAGGTTGAGCAGGAGTGGTATTTTCTGATGCAATTTCATTGCTAGACTTTGGCACATGAGACTTCTCCACCGCATGGCTGCTTGCCTTCGAAACCTTATGACCAGTAGCAGCCCCCTTTTCCGGTTTCGACGAACCTCCAAACAGTGAAGCAGCAAGTTTCTGCTTTTCATGAGAAATTTCAACTTGTGGTTTCCTTGAAGCATAGGTTTCACGTGTTGAATTTACAGTACTTGCCCTCTCAACTTGTGCAGCACCATTAACCATTTTCTGTGATGTCGAATTTGAGATAGATGTTTCAGGCGTGTATGTGTTGGTCTACCCCATTTCTTTTGTACTCCGTCTAGTCGTAGCTTGAGCTCCGTTGGTCCTGCATACGGATTAGATAGAATAGGAGTCTGGTAGGTCTCCCTAGGAAACATTGGCTCGGGCACAGGAACAATTTCAGTTGAAGGAAGTAAGGCTTGAGGAATAGTAGATTGCACCGCAGGCACAGGGAGCTCACATGCCTCGAACCTGAGACCACGTGATGATTCAAAGTGATACTGGTTCCTAAAATTGCCCGTATTTAACACTCCAGAGCGTTCACTCTCAGGAATATAGGGCTGAGAGCCTTTTTCTATTGCTTCTTGGATATAACCATTAAGGAAAGAAAGGCCTTTATCAACCTGCAAGAAGAACTAATAAGACTCGTGCATAAAAAGTTATAGAAAAGAAAAGAATGCTCCACCATGATGCAGTTGACAAAACATAAGATATCAAGAGGAAATTGAAACAGGTGTCATCAGAGACATTGGATAAAGTTATAATCTGTACATCGAGACCTAATTAAATAAACAGAATGCAATAGAAAAACACCTCAATATCTTCACAACTTGCATCTGGTGGCATAATACACTCGACGGCATGTGTGTCGAGGCCAATCACTGCTTACAGTTCGTAGGCACGTTGCTGCAAATCTGTTGAGTGAGAAGCCAATAACTCTTCCACTAAAGATTGACACTGCATCAAGAAAGGAAATAGCAATCAATCCACCAATTGTTACCACCAATTGTTACCCAACAAAAGTTGAATATGATTATACATGCAAGTATTTTGTATTCAGGCATTAACAAAACTTTTCATCAAAGTGAATCTAGCTTTTAGTGGAGTTAGTAAGCATTATAAGGGGATTTCCATTTCAACAATAATATGTCACGAGAAGTTCCACGACTATACAGTTACAATAAATTTGCAGTTATCTACATCCTACTAGTACTAGCACAATGCACAGATGGAATCAAGAACCACTGATTTCCACCTGGTAGGCTTTATTCCTGAATATAATGCGTCAAAAGCTTGTTCCAGCATACATTTTTCTCACTCCCTAGCCCAATGTTGTGGTAGTATTCCCCTTACCTATCATCCTTAATTTTGACCACTTCAGGAATCCAAAAGCAGATCTTGGCACACAATCATATAATATAACTCTTCTTCACATATCATTATCTCAACATCAGAACAACCTAGCAAGAGGTCGCTTAATTATAGTTTCAACACATGCCCTTTATACTCAAACATAACCCCAGAGAGAGAGAGAAAGAGTAGAGGACGGAAATTACTATTTAAACAGTACAACCTTTTCTTACAGCTACAGACACTGCCGAGTAAAAGATAGCATTGTTGTGAAACAAAATTTCACAATCAATATAATAAGATAATGCTAATACACACTTCCAGTCTGACAGCCAGCCCAAGCCAGATTTATTTTCTTCATTGCCAAATCATATGAAAAGAGACAGAGATATGTCATTGTTATCTTGTAAGTTGTAACCATGGTCAAACTTTCCCTAATCAATCAGAGTACTAATTCCTTTAAATGTCCTTGCTAGCTAATGTTGAGAGAACTTAAGTACTAAGGCAACCAAACAACCATAAAATCAAACACCAAACGCAGACACAGGTAGTTTAAATAATTTTCAGGCTGTTGCACTAAAAACATGCAATCTAACATAGAAGTACCAAAGGATGCAACACATCAACAAGATAAATGAATACGCATTTGCATATAGAAAATTTGTCCTCACGTGTCTGGAAACCAACCTCAGGCAGCATATCTATTTTCCTCCCAGCTGCTATTTCAAACGCATATATTTTCATGAGAGCTGTAACTGCGTATGCCTTCAAAAATAAATAAAAGATCATAACATGAAAGAAAACTATAAAATCCTAAAATGATTATAAATGACATTTTCAGATAACTATGACTGCAAGAATTATGAACATAACTTGGTTAACTGCACCAAGAATCGGTAATAACTAATACTTAGGCTAAGAACAATTAGTTCATACTAGTTGATACCTTATCAGTCTCATCACTAGAATAAGCCTCTGCCACATCACATAGCTTCCCGGTAATGTCGGAAGCAGATAACATTCTATCAGCTGTTTCATATTCCCCCTGTACCCAACAAATTACCTGCAATCAGACTCGCAAATTAAGATAATAACTGTTACAGATTATTAGGCTAACTTCTAGGAAAAGTATATATTCCGTTAATTGTAATATATTTAGTTACCTAGTTTAGATATACTAGCTTGTGTATATATAGCTCTTTTCTATTGATGAATAAAATCAATTAGAATGCTTTCTCTACTGTTTTTACATGGTATCAAATGGTTTAATATATTCAAGTTCTTCGTTTTTTGGGGGGGCTGTTTGGGTATCGGGAGAAAGGAGTGCTTTTTGGTCGTTTTTTACCGATGACTTTTGGACGCTCATCTATTGACACCGCCGGCTCCAAGAGATCCGCCATGCGCTGGTCAGCCGTTCTGGAAATTCCGATCACCGGAATCCTAGCACGTGAGCCCCATGTGCCGCCGCCATATTTTGCGACCCCTTCACGCTCCGACGCGTGAGAGCACGTGGTCGCCGATTCCCTCCGCCATCCTCTCCGCTTGTTTTCGACCACACCCTGCTGCCCCGATCCATGCTTCTGGTTCATTTTTTGTTTCGGGTTAGGTGTCATTTTTTTTTAAATACTGTTTGGTTGCTAGTTTTGTGTTTGCTGTGAATTCTATGTCGACTTGCGATTGTGGGTGACAAAAAGGTTAAATTTATGTCTGATATAGTTCCGGTTACTTCTAAAGTTACTGACCAAAGTTAAATGATTTTAATTTTCTCGAATGGAACCATATGATTGAGTTGTATTTGTTGAGTCTTTATATCGATAGTCACTTGACTGAAGATTCTCTTACGAATGATTCTCAACTTCCTTATATGAGAGAAGATGCTTGCTTGTATACGTAGATACGTAACTCTATTGATAGTGAGGTGGTGGGTATGGTTAGTCATTGCAAGATGGTGAAACAATTGATGAATTATTTGTAATTTTTATATTCTGGTAAAGGAAAACTTTTTCGTATCTATGATGTATGTTAGAGTTTTTACAGGAATGAAAAAGAAGATCGGCCTCTGACCCATTGTTTTGTGGACTTTAAGAAGACATATGAAGAACTTAATATGTTGCTTCCTTTCATTGTCAATATAGAGGTCCAACGGAGTCAAAGAGAAAAAATGGCGATTATGAGTTTTTTTGCCGGTCTTCCACCAGAATATGAGATTGCCAAGTCCCAAATCCTTTCTAGTCCAGAAATTTCTAGTCTTGATGATGTTTTTCGGCATGTTCGTCGTACTGAAACTTCTTTACTTGTCCTGTATTCTCAGCCTTCCAGTTTTTTCCTTAATCATGCTACCTCTTTCGAATCTGGAAAACAGCAGTACAAAAATGGCGCACCTAATAGAAACATGGGATTAGCATCCAATAGACCTAATCATAGTTTGGAGTTCGTGGTTGCGAGCATGGCGAAGTTGTGTGTTACTATTGTCATAAATCGGGACATCTCAAACGTGATTATCGGAAGCTACAATCTAAGAAATCTCAATTTGCTCATGTTGCATCTAGTGTAGAAACTTCTTCACCGGTTGTTACAATATTTGCGAATGAGTATGCCAAGTTCCTTCACTTTCAAGACTATATGAATCAACCTTCTGCTCCCGTTTCCTCCCTTGTTGAGTCAGTTAAACCCAATAAATGCTTTGTTTCCACCTCGTCAAAATGGGTCATTGATACTGGTGCTACAGATCCAGACAGGTAACCACATCTTCTTTCTGACTTTCAATCTCATTCATCTATGACTCCTATGACTTTAGCTGATGGTTCCACATCAACTATTATTAGATGTAGCATTTCCAATCATACTCCATCCATCACTTTGTCATCTGATTTGAGTTTATCCCAATTATCTTTTAATTTGATGTCAACCAATAAACTTACACGTACCCTTAATTATTGTGTCTCATTTTTTCCTGGTTATTGTTTGTTTCAGGATCTCTTGACAAAAAAAATTATTGGTAAAGGACATGAATTGGATGATCTTTATATCCTTGATGCCCAAGATTCGAAATCTGTTGCTTGCATTGGGATTCTTACCCCTTGTGAAGAACATTATCGGTTGGGTCATCCTTCATTTTCTTCTTTAAAGAAATTGTCCTCAGTTTTCCTCCTTAGCAACTTTGGATTGCAAGTCTTGTCAGTTTACTAAGCATCACCATCTTAGCTCAAGTCCTAGAGTTCTAAATGATCTTCTGCACCCTTTGAGTTAGTTCATTCTGATTTGTGAGGATTTAGTCCCAGTTCTCTCTAAATCTGGTTTTGCGTTATTTTGTTACTTTTGTTGATGATTATTCTCGAATGAAATGGTTTTATTTAATGAAATCTGGGTCATTTTGTAAAGTAGTTCAAAGGTTTTCCTCTTCAGAGTGTCATCTGGGTCCTGTGTCAAGCACGTGTGTTAAATAATTGTAATTAAGATTGACAATTGCATGGAAAATAGCATAATGAAGAGGCAAAAACATTCACTCAAAAATTTTTAGCCCACCACGAAAGAAAAGGGAAAAACTGTACATTCTAAGCTAGATAGATGGATCAAAGTTTTCAAAGAGCATCCTCTCCATGTTCCTATAAATCTCATTTCTCATTTAACAGAACCAATTAAGCGTTATATCAGAACAAAGACTAGATACCAATGACAGAATTAAAAAAAAGAAGCTTTTGAACCTCTAAGCAATCAATCACAGCCAGTTGATGTTGCTCAGCAATCTCTGGACTTATCTTTTAAGACCATCAATGCCCATGTATTTTAGGTTATGACTGTCACTCTGCAAACAGAAAACAAAAGATGGCATGAGTCATCATAGTCACCAAGAAAAAAAGGAACCCATAATGCTCTAGTGCTCTGAACTTCCACTGAATAGTCACCGGCTACCTTTAAAAATCTTGATATAGCATCGGTTGCAGAATCTCATAACTTGGGATTGGGATAAATAGAAGAAACACAGCATATGCACTCATAAAGTACCGCATTCCCTATATTACTTGATGAATCACATTTTTTGAATATGTCGCCCACTACAGTATACATGTTTTCACTTGCTTTCTTGTCACCGCTTCCAAGCAACGCCAGAATTTTTAGCAACTTGATTTGCACAATAAAACTGTGCTCATCATATGACCTACATAGTCGATTGAAATTTTCTAAAAGCTCGAGTAAAGCCTAAAAGATGAATCAATCACCTGAATAAATGGAGCTGGCATCTGATGGTAGTCATAAGCCTTCGACAGTCTGTGTTCAGCTACTTGTTTAAGAATGCTTACAAAGCTGACAACCAAATCTTTGTAAGAATTAGTGTCTTGTGTTATAAGATCAAAAAGCGGACAAAGGGTTGCTCCCATAACTCCAGTGTCATTATCACAAAGCCTCTGAAACGAAGGATACAGCTTTAAGTTTGAATCAGACAGTCTACGGTTCTTGAAGAGAAAAATATATTGAGAAACACGACTATTAATACATCAAGACCAAATTTGTTATTATAGGATGAGATTTTCAAATTCTCATTGATGAAATCTTAAAATGGACCTTCCTAAAAATGGAAATACTAATAGCAACATATTGAGAACTTACATAATATGATTTTATGTAAAATACATGGTCTCTCTGCTCCCCCACTTTTTCCTTCCCTTAATAAAGGTCATTCTAGATTAGCAGGTATTTTAGAATTTGCGGTTTTACTTGTGAACCAAAAGCCGGTCTGTTAGCCTTGGATCGAGCCTCGCCGATGGACTTGACCAGATCCAGAAATTCTTTGGACTGGTAGAATCCGCCTTGGGAGCCCATTGCGAGCTCCCTACCGAAAGTCCTTAATTGCTCCAGCTTCGCTGCTCTATGTCTTCAATCACCTTTTTTCTTTCATTCGGTGTTGAGATCTGAAACTGAATAATCAGATGGTATCATCAAAATAATGAGGTTTATCTTTGTATATGAGAGAAGAATATATACATATATTATCAGACAGAGAGAAGTAGAGTAAAAACAGAAGAGTGGGGTGAAATGAACGCTAGCACTGTAATAAGGCTTTGTTTGAAGAAGAGAAATAAAATTAGAGGGTAAAAAGGTATAAAATATATTAAATTTATTATTTTATTTATGTTTTGTCAGTGTTAATTTTTATTGAAATATTATCTATTTAAATATTTGTTTATAAAAATATGATATAATACATTTATGAGATATTAGATAAAAATAGGGGTTAATTTGAGTTCAGATATTAGATTAACAAAGATTTAAATCAATTAGGATTTAAATAGATTTTTCAGAGATTATATTTATCTCAAACATTGTAATATCAAATATATTATACAAGTTATAAAATATGACACAAACAATTAGGATCAGTTTTTGATTAAATAACATGTTTGAGAACTAAATAAAACATAAATAAACTTTAAGCGTTTAAATATAATTTATCTAATTTATTATTCTTTTAAATATCTTTTATATTTTTTTAAAAGCTTAAAATCAATGTACATTTAAAATTTAATTTGATAAATAGTTTTAATAAAAGGCGCAATGCGTGTCGGAAGCGTCTTCCATCATTTCATCTACATAGACAATGCTATCAATTGATAACGCCTTTAATACAATACAATTATCATATAACATCTTGGACTTACGTAATCGAAAATGATACCATTCCCAAAATAATATTTTTTGGATACTATTTTCTTAAAAAAATAGGTATTGTTCTCATAAAATTGCAATTTGTACGAATATTTTACTTTACATTTATGATTGAATATAGAAATAATGATTTGAATATAAATACATTTTATATTTAATTATATTTTTTATTCCACTCCAGCCAGTGTTAATTGTGCCAAAATTTAGGATATATACTTGTGTAGTTGATTGTTTAATTCCAAGCCAAAGCTAGCGCAAATCAAAACGCATCGTATGGGTAGAAACTAGGCCTCCAAAAATTGCAATTCCATCTTCACATAATTTGTTTTTTGATGCATTAATTGTGTGCATGTACTTTGAGGACTTGATCAACAGGAGTGGTGATTGTCATGACGGCGGCTGCTCCGAGCAAGGCCGAGAGTGCAGCCAGGCTTAAAAGTCCAGAGCTTATGTACACTCCGCCTTTAACTATGTAGCATTCCCCGTCCAACCATCCTTCTCCGTAGGACTGTTTTCGGCTCATGCTCGTGGCTACACTCATTAGGATCACCGCAACTCCAAAGCTCACCCTGCAAATTTTAATCTTCTTTTAAGTAAAGTCGTTTGTATGACGTTCGTTTATTAAGTTAATAAATGAGTATTGATAAAAAATTTATATTAATTTATTAGATGAAAGAACTCACAAAAGTGTGTTCGATTCATTTATATTTACACATCTCCTAAAATAGATAAACAAACATAAATTCGTTAAAGTGCAATTCATTTACGCATCTGTTAGGCATAGGCAATGCAATAGACCGATGATGGCTTACCAGGAAAATGCAGTAAGAAACAGAATTGGTTTCTTAGCGTTTCCATTTTGGACCTTTCCTTTGGACCTCGACGACCAGTAATTTGCACACACCGTGACGTTCCCTATGATTTGAGCGATGGAGAGACAGATTAGTGCCGCAACGACGAACCCAAAGGAACGACTCACCGGTACTTGACATAGCCGTCCATCGAACTTGAGATCTTCAGCCTTACACAGACGCAATAGGAAAATTACTTTTAGAATTAAAAACTAATCAACTAGTCGCAACGAATGTATATATATATATATATATATATATCAACAACCTTGGTTCTCTTGGCCTCTGCAACAAGACACAGAGCAAACGAGACAAGGCCAAGCGAGGCAACGACAGAGAAGATCAAGACGCAACGGACTGTAATTTTTCCCATGGCGCTTGGTTTTTGTTGATGTTAAGAAGAAGAAGAAGAAAGAGATGGAAAGAGAGGTGTTGATGGCGTTTTTCCTTGTATGGCTGCTGCCTTGCTTTTCTTCCAAACAATTCTTTCGTTGCTTAGAATGAGAGAGAAGGTGATTGGCAAGTTTCCAGTCTTTAAATTCCTTGATTAATAAAGTGGGTTTAGCGTTACAGACATATCACATGCGTATATTTGAAAGGATAAATTACCTATTTGGTCACCTAACTATTATTTATCTTATGTTTTTGTCACTAACTATTATTTTCTTAAAAAAATCATAACCAATGTTATAGTTGTGTTTTGGACAATCATCGTTAAAAAATTAACTATAATGCTAACGTAACATTTTTAATTATTTTTCAATATTGACGTGACATTATCTTATGTAGACACGTTAACATCACATTTAATTTTTTAACGATGTGATCAAATCAGAACTAAAATGCAACATTAGATACGACTTTTTAAAAAGACACATAATGTCAAAATTATCCCAAGCATTTACCAAAACAGGCATTTTAAATCATATTATTTTTTGGAACATTTTTGCCCCCGAATTTTTCATTTTAGGATAAAAAGACTCTAAAATCTTATTGAATAGTCACTTTAGTCATTATCCTTTTTTAGAGTATTTTAGCCCTCTACGATTAATTTTAGGGTAAAATGACCTCTATTTTGGAGTGTTAACCTTTAGTTAACTAACAATTTTCATCTATAAAAGGGCTTTCTTTTACCATAAAATGAAATATTGGGAGCCAAAATGCTAAAAAAAGAATATGGGTCAAAATGACTATTTAGTTAAGTATTATGAGTTTTTTTGATATTATGCCTTAAAAAAATAATAGTTAGGTGACCAAAACAAAACTTAAATAATAAGTGGGTGATCAAATAAGTAGTTTACCCTATTTGAAAACATATGAGAAAATACTTTTAAGGTAGGAAAAGAAGATACCAAAACCTTCCCCACCAATTAGAGCTCATTAACAATTCTATACCTTGCCAATCTTGGGAAGGCTGAAACCGAGAGACAGAGCAATCATATGAACCAACTATTAACTCTCCGACCTCGAATGTTGTTATCGGTCGGTCCGACCACGATCCAATGCCCTCGAAGTCAAAGTTATCATCGTCACGATCTGACCGGGATGGAGGGAGGAATGTCTTAGTGTGGTGTGGTGCCGTCATCTGCACCATCATCACCTTAGCAATCATCATCACCGGCATCGTTACGTTCATAGGATACTTGGTCATACATCCCAGGGTGCCTTATGTTAGCGTCGTATACGCTCATCTAGACCGGATGGAGATCGATCACTACCAAGGCGCTCTGGGAATGCAGGTCAACATAGTAATTCGAGCTAACAATGGGAACCATATGGCGCATGCTGGCTTCTCGCATTCTAATTACACACTTAGCTTAGATGGAAAAGACATAGCCCTATTGCAAGAACCAGACTTTGAAGTAAGTAAGAACAGTTCAGTCGATTTTACTTTTGTTGCTCAAGCATCACCCGTACCCTTAGATCCAGAACAAGCAGACGAGGTGGAGACCGGTTTGCAGAAAGATCTGATTACGTTCAATTTGAAAGGAGGCGCCCGTGTTAGATGGAGAGTCGACCGTCTCGGGTCGTTTCGGTTCTCGAGTCGTCTTGATTGCCGGTTGCAGTTCCATGCTTCCAATCTATCCTACGTTCCTTCAAGCTGCACTTCCAAGGCCAAATGATTTCTTTTCCCTATTGCTTTGTTTCTTTATTTTTTTTGTATGCTGAATGGCTGTGCTCTGTAAATGCATGCGGGGCAATGAAGCGCTACGCAAGCAGCAATTCAGCATCTCACCCCAACTCAGTTACCTCTATTTCTCCGATCATCAATTTATGTTCACGATTCACGAAACGGGGCTTCCTTAGAACTAATTTCTTTTAAAGTTATTTAGGGTTATTGAAGCTATTATATTCAACTTCATATAAGATTATTTCTTCTTTCAAATTAAATACATTCATTAATTGATTGGTTATAAGTTTATGCCATCTTTTAAGTTATAGATATAGTTACGAGTAACAACACATAAAAAATTATCATCAAAATTAATTATTACAAAACATAATTATATTGATCATTGAAATATATCCGATTCAAATCAAAATAAATCTGGATTAGATTATCATGGTCAAACTTAAATTAGAATAAATTGAAACTATTCTTTAATAGAATTATCGATATTCAACCTATTAAACGATCAATCCAAATCAAATACTATAAAGGTCATCGCGGATGACCATGATTAGACTTAAACTAGAATAAATAAATATCACTTTAATTCTAATTAATAACAAACCGATCATCTATATATTGTGCATATTTTTTTGATTAGTCTGAGATAACACAAGATAATATTTGTTCAAAGACTCTCAACTATTTAATATTGAACGCTCATACCCTTACATACATAGTGCCAACATCTGAAACATCAAGAAGTAATAACAATTTCCTAACCACTGAAGTTGCTTGATCCGTATACATATTTTTAAATAAGAGTATTTGCATACGTTTTTACTTATACATGTTTCTTATATGATACATAAGTGACTGAAATGTAGTCGAGGGCAAGCGGTCAAGATAATAATCATAACAAACAGAAACATTACAATCAATACATATTTTGACGGGAGAGTGCTCTATTTTGGTTGCCCGCGCTTGCAACAGCTAGATTGATCATCCTTATAGTACGCCCTTCCTCAAGAATCATACTCAATGTCCCAAGGTTCATACCATTAGAGATGGGTTACTTCTTGTTGGATATATGAACTGCAAAACTACACCGTTAGCATTGACTGGAAATATAAACAGTAATTAAAAGGAACAAATTCGTAAACCGTGTCGTGGTAAAAACCACTGTCTTAGAAACGAATTCGCCCCGATGTGTGTAATCGCTACAGTAGGCGGACCGTCCCCCGAGGTTAACACGGTCGCTCCGAATTCCGTACACCCGAAATCGGAGTGGACTTCTAGTGGTATTGCTCTTCTGATTGGAAAACACTCAGAGAGAACTCACAGAGAGAATTGTAGAAAACACTTTTGTAAGTGAATTGTGAATGTTTGAGAGTGAGTTGAGAAGCTGAATATAGCCCTCTATTTATAGGCTAGAAATAGGGTTAAAATCATCCATAAAATTTCAGGATTAAATCTCTTCTTTTGTAACAGCTGAAACGTCTAGATGAACCTGACTCAAAAATAGTCCAGGTTCATTGCATCATTGTTGAGCTGTTATAACTCCCGAAATTATATCATGTAACCCATGGAATTAAATCAAATAACTCCTGTAACTCCTGATATTAACAGCTTGTCTCCTCTGTACAAAGCTGGAAATCATTCCAGATACATCTTAACGTTTTTGATTTAATTTAGGAAAAGTTGTTTAATTTCTCATAAACCAGCTGTTATCATTTGAAATTAACAGTCCTCAGCAGCATATAAATATCAGTTGAAATCTTTCACATTTTCCATTTGTTTCTTTCAAAGAGAAATTCCTCAAGAATTTTCTCTAAAAATATAGTATCCGCGCGGATGTGTCGAAGACACGTATTACCACGACCACGACCACGACCACGAGCCGAGCCGAGCCGAGATGGACGGACGGCGGCGGCGGTGCGCGAGAGTCCCCCTTGTTCTCTATCACTCAACAAGGAAGTGGGAAAGCCAAGCCTTAAATACTATTCCCAATAGTGTTTCCAATACTATGTGGGATTGAGCATTACCAACATTCCCCCACTAATGCGAAAGAAATCTTCTGAAACTCGAAAACAAACTTTCCAGAAGAGCAATAGCGAGATTAGTTGCTTAAGCACTAGTGAACGTATCTGGAACTAGTACATAGTGATGATGAGCAATCATTCTCTTAGATAAGTGAAACTAGTATGGAACTTTCTAAGATCAGGGTAAACTCATAACGCACAACTAACCCCTTCATCCACCTGAGTCCTCGATACAAAGTATATATTTAGCCATCTTACCTCAGGATTCTAGTAAGTATGCTAGAAAAATGGCCCAACATTTTTCATAGAAGGCGGCTAACCCTTCTCACTTATATAGGTTATTTCATCAAGTTTATCTCAACATAAACCACCCTTTAAAAAGGGATATGAAATAATTAAGAGCTTTAATAATAGCTCAACCTCACAAAGGGTATGGTGACTTTCTTCAAGTTCATTATTAATGAACCACCCAAACTCTGGGCTAAGAAGTCATTAAGAATAAATATTCAACCTCATTTATCGGTAAATTTAGTAAGTCATTCTCACTAGAACCATCCAAATACTTGGATTTGAATATATTAAGAGTTTAACAAACTCAACCTTTCTCTAGGTAAGTTCATCATTTCCTACCCACTCACTCTGGGTTATGAACTTATTAAGAATAGATATTCAGCCAAAATCGGTAAATTCATCAAGTCTTTCTCACTAAGACCACCCAAAGCCTGGGCTATGAGTTTATCAAGAGCACTTAAGCTCATATTGGGCATGCACATTATTCGTCATAGGGATAGTCACTAGGAATATGCACTATAAGTCTTTCCATGGTTTCGTTTGACCACATGGAACTTAGATAACTAAGTTGGGTATCCACCATGAATTCCTCAACCAATGGGCTTTAGACCCATCCCCCTCGACGAATCTAGGACCAACTTCCGACTTAACCCTTTGGTAAGTGGATCTGCTAGGTTCCTTTCCGACTTCACATACTCTAAAGAGAGCACTCCATTCTTTATTAAGTGTCTCACTGACTCATGCCTTATACAAATGTGTCTTTTCTTACCATTGTAAGCTTGGTTCTTAGCCACACATATCGCAGCTTGTGAATCACACAATAATGAAACTGGAGGAGTCGGTCTTCCCCACAACGGAATATATGCTAACAAACTTCTGAGCCACTCGGCTTCTTGCCCAGCTAGGTTAAGAGCTATAAACTCTGACTCCATAGTAGAACGAGCAATACAAGTCTGCTTTGATGATTTCCACGAGATTGCTACTCCACCCAAAGTAAAAACATACCCGCTCGTAGAGCTTACCTCATCATTATCAGAAACCCAGTTGGCATCACAATATCCTTCCAGTACCGCAGGAAAGCCAACAAACTCAAGTTTCCAATCCAAAGTACCCTTAAGATACTTCAGTAAGCGTTTAAGAGCAATCCAGTGCTCACCACTCGGATTATGAGTATATCTACTCAGTCTACTCACAACATAAACAATATCAGATCGAGTATAGTTCATTAAGAACATTAAGCTTCCGATTAACTTAGCATATTCAGTTTGGGAAACGCTACTTCCTTTATTCTTAACTAGATGTATGCTAGGGTCATAAGAAGTTCGAACAGGGACGACATCAAAACTGTCAAATTTCTTTAGCACTTTCTCTATATAACGTGTTTGAAATAAAGAAAATCCCTTCTCAGTTTTGGTAACTTTGATTCCTAAGATTACATCTACTTCTCCCAAATCTGTCATCTCAAACTTAGTGGACAAGAAATTTTTAACTTTGTTAATGGACTCAATGTTAGAATTGAAAATCAACATGTCATCAACATAAAGACTTATGATAACACATTCAGTGTCAAACATCTTTGAATACACACAAGCATCCGAACCATTCATAACAAAACCAAAACTAAGAATAGTTTTATGAAACTTCTCATACCACTGTTTAAGAGCCTGCTTAAGTCCATAGAGTGACTTTTTGAGTCTACAGACTTTGCCTTCCATACGAGGTGTTTCAAAACCTAGTGGCTGCTCCATGTAAATCTCCTCATCTAGATCTCAATTCAAGAAAGCAGTCTTAACATCCATTTGATATACCTGCAACTTATGAATAGAGGCTAGTGCAAATAATGCACGAATCGTTGAGATTTTTGTAACGGGAGAATATGTATCAAAGTAGTCTAAACCAAACCTTTGAGTGAACCCTTTGACGACTAACCTTGCCTTGTACCGTTGAATCGAACCATCTGGCCTTAGTTTCTTCCGGAAGACCCATTTGTTGGAGATTGGTTTGAATCCCTTAGGCAAGTCAACTAATTCCCAAGTATGATTAGACATTATCGATTCTAGTTCATCATTAACAGCGCTTTTCCAAAAACTAGCATCGATAGATCTTATAGCTTCTTCAAAAGTTTTAGGATCCTCATATAACAGAAAAATTTGAGCTATAGGATCTGAAATGGAGTCTAAATCATTTATCTCAGAAATAAAGGAATTAATAAAGTCTGGTCCAAAAGAGGTTTCAACTCTTTGCCTTTTACTTCTTCTAGGCTCGAAATCAATTTGTTCAGAAGACCTAGCAGAATTACTAGAAGAAGTGGATGGAATATATTCTATTTGTGTTTCAATATTCATTCTTGGTTCCTTTAAAGGAAAAGTATTTTCAAAGAAAACAACATCCCTTGACTCACAAATAGAATAATCTTGTAAAAGCATGAATCTGTATGCAGCACTATTCGTAGCATACCCTATAAACACTGCATCAACAGTTTTAGGTCCGATGGTGGACTTCTTAAAGTCTGGCAAACCCACTTTGGCCAGACACCCCCACACTTTCAGGTATTGTAAATTAGGAGCGTATCCTTTCCACAATTCATATGGGGTAGAATCTAATTTCTTATGATGAATTCGGTTCAAGATATGAGTTGTCGATAGAATGACTTCCCCCCACATGTTATCAGATAACCCTG